ACTGCTTCTGTTTAATTTCTGTGTCTTTGGAAGGGGCAGGGCCACTGATGAGAAACTATTTCCACAGGTGGAAACCATTGGTGATGCCTACATGGTGGCTAGTGGGTTGCCTAAGAGAAATGGCAATCGTCATGCAATAGACATTGCCAAGATGGCCTTGGAAATCCTCAGCTTCATGGGGACCTTTGAGCTGGAGCATCTTCCCGGCCTCCCAATATGGATTCGCATTGGAGTTCACTCTGGTATGGAGTTGAGCATCTTAGCAAATGGGAACCATGTGTACCGCTGTGCATGAGCTAAATCAGAAAGGCTAAAGGGTCTTCAAATGTGATCCATTTTCACATAAGGTTTACTCTTGAATTCTGCATGCCAAATGTGAGGTCTCACTACACATCCTGACATATTTAGACCCAGTCCCTAGAGAGCTCTAGGAACAACACCTTTGACAGCACCTTTGACTCCTGGAATGATAAACACCAACCACGTACAAAAACAAGAAACTCCAGACTTCATATTTAAGTCACCGTATCTACTATTTCACTTATCTCCTCCCCATTCCTTCCAGCTTCTGTATATTTATTCCACTCAAATATTATAGTATCTTAAGTAGATTAGTTTATCTACAGGGGAAAAAATAGCTGGTCAAATTCCTATGATGTTTATACCCCAACCCCATTGCAGTGGTACAGAAAGTACATGGGTCACTTCAAAGACCATGAAAGTTACTTGGCCTTGTTAAAAGACAAACTTTAGAAAAATTAAATTTAACAGAGTTTAATTGAGGAAAGAATGATTGGCAAATTGGTGGCCCTTAGAACCGAAAGAGGTTCAAATAACTCCACTGGGTAATGTGGGCAGGGAGTGTTTATAGACAGAAAATAGAAGTGAATATAGAAACAGCTTTGATTGTTTACAGCTCCATGTTCGCCTTATTTGTGTATGGTCTGATGGGTTGGCAGCCTGTGACTGGCTGAGACTCAGCAATTTCTTACGAAAGTTACTCCTAAGTTAGGCTTTTCGTCTGTTTATGTACCAAGCTAGGTTGCAGTTGGTTATGTAGGGACTCCTATGAGGCAGTATCAGGCCAAATTTAGTAATTTAATAGTCTTGAACATAGAGATCTGAAAAGATGAGTTACAGTTGTTACAGAAAAACATAGTTGGAGAGGAACTCAAAAGTCATCTGATTTATTCTTTGCAGGACATAAATTATCTTTGTAGGTTCCAAGATAAGTAATAATATAGTCACTTTTGGAATAATCCCAGTACTCCCTGAAAACTCACTATTTCCCAAGCTAATTCACTTCCTTATTGAATAGTTGCAATAGTTGTTACACATTTTTTCCTTGTGTTAAATCATATTGCTCTATAATTTGTCATTGCTCCTTTTTCTGCCCTCCAAGCCTTTCAGAAGACCCACAGTACAAAAATCCATGAGATCACTCCAGGTTTTGTGGCAAGGACCAGATATATATTTCAAAAGTCATCCTGTATCCACAGGACCTGACAGCAAATATTTGTTGACTGAGTAACAAAATGGGGAAATTCTCAAAGTGACAGTAAATGGAAGTTAAAAACTGCTGCTGTATCTTGGATAGCCGGGAGCACAGCTGTGGCCTTCTCCAATCGTGTCCACAGCCAAACGTCATAGATGTTTCCACACACGCATAAAGGAATGTCTTGGCATCTCCCTGGCCACAGAAACAGCAGACTATCTCTTTTCTGACCCATCACAAATTGCCAGGTCTGCAGGAAGGGTTAGCAGTAGGACTGACTGAACCCAGTGCGGGAGAATGGAGCTCTGCCCAGCCTCTTTTCCTCTGTGACATGCTCAGTGCCTGAGCTGATGACCAGGGCCGGGCACCACCACACTGGCCTGGGAGAAGTTATTAGGCACACATATCTGGAGGGATTTAGGCCTAAGAAATCAAAAGGTTGCAAAGTTAAATATTGATCATTGAGAGCAAAACATTATATCTGCAGGGGTTTTTCCATCACCAAGCCCTTCCCAGCTTTATCACCCTGCCTTTGACGTAAGGAGTCACTTGCACATAGACCTACCGTCCCAGGGGAGCTGGGAAGCTCAGAGATCTGATCACATAGCCACCTCTACTGTGCCTTCCCTTCTGTAAGGTCGTATGGTGTTTTATTTTGGTTTTTTTGTTTATTTGTTTTTGTTTTGTTTTGCATCAAACCCGACAGTGAAAGGCTCAGGACTCAGGGGAAGATCCAGTATTTTGATTTTTTTCAATGTTCATAGTAGAGTATTGGTAGAATAAATCTATAAAGAAATTCATATAGATCAAAACCCAGAAAGCCAACTAGAAAATTAATCGTTCCCTCTACCCAAAACCCAGTTTTGCAGTTTCTGAATTAATCTTTAACTTCTAAAA